TTTTTTGAATTCCTTACTAAATGTAATATATAAAATTATTGAGAAATGTTACAGTCTCGTTATAGAACCATCCGTCGGGATTTGTAACCGTTAGATAATCATGTAACCGTCGTGGATAGTTGATCTAACGATTACAATTCCCGACAGAATGGTTCTGTAATGGGACCGTAGAATCTCTCAAAATTATTACTTAGATGAATACATCTAATTAAAATTGAGAAAGTTCATTGAAGGTCCATATTTTTTTGGAGTAATACTATGCATAGATAATAAATGTACATAGAGTTGTGCATAACACTCACATGGAGTGGGGTCCATTTAATTTTTAATTTTTGGTGGGTCCCACTCAATGTGAGTGTTATGTACACCCATATATACAATATTATGTACATATAGCATTACTCATTTTTGTTACTTCTAATTTACTTAATTATTTGTAAATTGAAATTATGATTTTTTATTTTTTGGGATTCCCCTATTTTAAATCACCATATTGTTAAATACATGAAAAATTATATAAAATAAATAATAACATACGTACTTGTATGATGCTTTAAGATCATTTCCAACTGTGTGTGAATTATAGAATTGCAGAAGACATACAAATATGCAATAAAAAAAAAACTTCTTCAACGGTGATTTTTCTATTTCTATTGGTGATGATGTGGCATGAAAGATAACCAATAATTCTAGAAGTCCTTCTACATGTAGAAGTCCTTCTAGACTTAATGAGTTGTTTTTTTTCCCCTTTATTTATAAACAAAATAAATGAATTATGTGGAAATAGAAATAAACAATTGGAGAGTTTTTATGGACTTGAATCTCTATTTGTTCCACTTGGATGGAAGATCATCTATTTAATTGCCAAATACAGTACAAGGATAAGCTCCCTACCTACGGTAAGCACATGTTAATATGTCCACTGCTTATGTGGCATGCACACATTGGTGCATGCCACATAAGCGATTGACATATTAACATGTGTCCACCGTAAATAGGTGAGCATTACTATACATTAGAATCCATGTTCACGGTTGGAGATGCTTGCCACTTGCCACAATGCTAAGGCATCGAAAAAGCAAACTTGGCACATATAGTCCAAGATTAGTTCTTTAAGCAACCATTTTTGCCATTATTATTACTTCCTTTGCAAGTGCAAGTTACCATTATAATGCATAAAATGGCCCAAACAAAGCTAATAAAATATCAAACAAACATAAAAATAATCAAAACATAAGAAATTTAATAGTTATTGATTTTAAAAGTGATGTAATGCATGTAATAATTAGATTGTGACAATTGTTGTTATATTAAACTCTATGCCATTCCATATGTCAATATATAATCATAAATAAAAAGTAAACATTCCATTTCATAAAAAAAAAATATTTTTGTTTTAAAAAAAATGTACGTGTATTCGCCTAAGCGATTAGATTGGTTTATACAAAAAATTCGTGTTTTCAATAAAAATGTTATTAGACCATGTCTAATAGTTACCTAATAATATTTTTCACTACATATACATACTTTCGAATTAAATGTCATGGTCAAATAGAATATCATAAATAAAAAGTATGATATTTCATATATACACAGCGTACATATGTATTTTTATTAAAAAAAGTAGGATAATTAGGTTGACCCGTTTAACGATTAGATACTTACAATTGTTATACATATACTAAATCCACCAATCCCAAACTATATTCATGTCAACCACTAGATGGTCTCTATTTCCTTACCATATAAATTTATTTATGTCAAACAAAGTAAAAAACAGGATAGCATTAAAAAAATGAAAACATTATACATCAAATTATCTACAATTAACAATATTTACTATATATACCTATATAAATACCACACAACTCTTTCAACTTCATGATGTGAAAAAAAAATAAAAAGCCCAATTGATAACAATAAATATATAACAAAAAGAAAATATATTATTTATTTGCTAATAGGCCATTAATGGCAGAGTTGCAAAGCTCTGAGGTGATGATGAAGATCATAAGGTTCTTATCTTCTCAACTCCAAAGAGTTGCAGAGGCCAATGACGTGTTTGGCTCGTATGGTGCACGAAAAATCACGATTTTCCACAGCTTGACTCGGCCCACAATCTCGATAAAGAGCTATCTCGAGAGGATTTTCAAGTACGCGAATTGTAGCCCGTCTTGTTATGTCGTGGCCTACATTTATCTCGACCGGTTCGCGAAGAAACAGCCTTTGATGCCGATAAATTCGTTCAATGTGCACCGGCTTCTCATTGCTAGTGTTCTGATTTCTGCAAAGTTTATGGATGACATGTAAGTTTTCTTCAATTTCTTAATGATATATATAATTATTCTTTTTTTTTTTTTTTT